CCCCAAAACCCCAAAACCCCAAAACCCCAAAACCCCTCAGTATTATTGAAGGTCTATTAGTGGTAGATATATTGCAAAAATAACAAATTTAAATTGAATTTATTGATAATAGTAATTATATAATTTGAGAAATATTTGAGCAAGAACTATGGCTTAGCCTTTTTTTACGAATCCTTTTATAGGTCTATAGAACTATGGGTAATCATGTAAGTATTCTTGATTTATCTTAACTAATGATTGATTAGACTTGGCAAGTTTGCAACAGTAAAACTAGCAAACTCAACAACCCTCGCCAATGCCCTAACTTCAACAACAGCAATAATAATAGCAATAATCTCATCATCATCAGTCGCTTAGTGAGCGAGTCAGACAAATGAGTGAAGTTACAGCACCTATGTCAAATCCAATGCTCAGCCAAATGAATGGATAAAGAAGAATGGACTCAGTTTAAGAGACTTAGGCATTCCCAATGGGAAAAGATTTTATGCAGCAATAAGTTTAGCAATTCCAACAATCGCCTCCCTAGCAATAGACGACCCCTACTCCACCACTCGTTACCCATAAATCTAGTGAAACCTCAAATATCAGAAATGTTTGGGTAGAAAATTTTGAAATTGAGTTGCCTATAATCAGTGAGCTGCTAGATAAATTCCCCTACGTCGCTATGGTATGTTTTTATGCACAATTATCGACATTTAGGACACTGAGTTTCCAGGAGTAGTGATAGATGAGATTTCAGAGGCCTTCAGAAATTCAGATGTAAGTGATTATGACTCAAATTAATTCAAACTATTGCTCTATTAATTCTGGTTGATTTTAAGTAAAATTTGTTGTAGCAAAGAGAGTATTTAAAGATCAAAGCGAATGTCGACATTTTAAAGATTATCTAAGTTGGTATCACCTTATCTGATGAAAATGGTAACCTTCCTGAGCCTGTATCCACTTGGCAATTTAACTTCAACTTTGATATTGACACAGAAAATAAATCAACTACTTCCATCAATCTCCTTTAAAATTGCGGAATAGACTTTTAGAAGTTAAAGAGACATGGTATTCATCCTTTGTATTTTGCAGAGAAAGTGATAACTTCAGGCTTGATACTTAATGACAGAGTGCATTGGATATGCTTCCATGGTTGCTACGACTTCGCATATCTTTTGAAGATCGTTATGAATGAACTTTTACCCAAGTCTAAAGAGAATTTCAACCAAAATTTGAAGATGCTATTTCCTAATATCTATGACATCAAGTCCTTCCAACATGAATTCTCTGACCTTTTTGAAAGCGGAGGCTTGAACAGAATCGCTGACCTGCTTGGAATCTAGCGTATAGGAATTACTCACTAGGCAGGGTCAGATAGTCTAGTGACTTCGCAGGTTTTTTTCAAGCTGAGGTCAAACTTCCAAAACCTTTTCCCTCAAATCATATTGGAATACAACCATGATGTCTATGGTTTCAGCAACGACTAAGCTTTTCCTTCAATGAGTAGAACCCCTGCCACTATTCATCATATTGATCCTCTTCACAGTAATACTTTTGACGAAAATGATAACGCTGTTAATCATGAACTTTACTATAATTATGTGCCAAATTCAGACTATGATGGTGGATTTTTCTATAATGGGCTTGGCTCTGGCACCACAAACAATGTTGACTTATCAGTTTTCTAAAGTAGATCTACCCCAGTTGTTTAAAGTTCATTCTAGAACTATATTAACTCCCAATAGTATGTAGACTCGGGCAAGAAACTAGGCAAAAATATTCAGGATATCTTCGTTGAACAATCTTATGCCAAGACTCAAGCCTCAGGACATTTACTTCACACCACCACCCCTCCACCCTTAATGATGGAAGGTCAGTATATTCTGAGAAACTTAACACCAGGATAAAATCACGGAGTTGACCTAATTAACTAGTATTCCTAGCAATAGTGGAACTACTATAATGGCACCAACAACCATTAAAATGGGTATCCTAACTCCACTGGAACTTTCTACTCTTGAAATACTACATCAGAGAAGAATTGAACAAATAATGTAGTCAAGTGGTTAGCTAATGAGAGTTTTGAGGTTAGTTCTTGACTGATCTGACTTTAAGCTTGACTTTACTTGACACCTGATTACATCTATCTCCTATAAATAGTAAACTTTATGATAAAACTCATCTTATCGTTAAAATTTAAATAGACCTCATTTCTTCATTATACTATAAGCCTGATGGGGTTTTGGGGTTTTGGGG